GAGAGAGAGATTAGATTACCAAGAAAAAATGGATATTACCAAGAAGAGAGATTTCGTTTCTAAGAAAAAAGGGAGGAGAGAAAATAATTTTATTTTATTTTTATGAGAGAGAAAATAAAATTAATGATTGTTTATTTAAAACATTAAAACTATTTGTCATGTTAGATTTAATCTAAACCATTAAAAATGGAGTAATCTAATGACCCAAAAATTGTGTCAAAACTTGTGTACATGAAAATCAAACAAGCATACCTTTTTCACCCGCCCCTGAATGCCACTGGCAGTTCGAACAGCAGCTCCTTCAAATCGAGCTATTTTGAGATCTGACGTAAACGTATCTTTTACAAGTGCAGTATTCTTGAAGATCTTGCAGGGGTAACCAACTAGTTTGAGTTTCTTCACTATTTGTGATGCGTGGTTGAACTCAAGCACAACTGCAGTTGCTGTGATCCTAAACTGCTCCTCCTAGACCAAAGAAAGTAGTTTAGGAATGAAGAAAAGGTATAAACATTAAATTCAAAAAAGTTAAATGAAAAGAGAGAAATAAATAACGCACACATGGGAACGAGAGAGGTGGCACTTGAAGGTAGACTATTTGACCACTTTCTTTTTATCAACATTAATTTAATGGAATGAACAATATTGGTTAATAGAATAAAACACAAGGAACAAATCGGCTAAATTGAAAACACGGGACTAAATTGGCCAAATGGGTAAAACACATGGACTATTTTAAGTACTTTTCATCTTGTACATTTGAATCATCCCAAAAGTGCAGCAGCAAATATAAATTTGGAATCCAAGTACTTAGGGAGGTGTTGACACAAGAACATGAAATTAAGTACCATTGGATATAGAAACTGGGTATATCCTTAGGCTTTGATGCCAATGGCAAAGCAGCCTGCAATGACTTAGGAATCACCAATGGGTTGAACTTCTTCAGCTTCCTTTCAAGTGGCTGTTGACACAAGAACATGAAACTAAGTACCATTGGATAACACAAAAAAACTGAAGAAAGAAAACAAGCAGTACGGCCGGGGCAGAATTGAGAAAAACCATGTACCACTGCAATAAGCAGCCTCATTGTGAGCCCCTCATATCATAGATTACCTTGTAAAGTGAATCTTCAAAAAAGCATCTATTTCAAAACAAAACAAAAACCTACTTTTAGTGGTATATTTGGATCTTTTTAAGGTTAGAAAATAGTTTCTTTAAAGAAAAAAAACATAAACACGGTCATTAAAATCGTTTCGTTTTCTTTTACAGAAGTTTCTGGTGTCTCGCTCTCTCTCTCTCTCTCTCTCTCTCTCTCTCTCTCTCTCTCCCCCTCATCACACGTATTTGATAGCATATTGACCAGCCCTTGAAATTTCCAACGGGTTGTTGAATAGAAAACTGCTACTGAGTTTGATGTTTGTCAATTTGGTCACTTTTTTTTTGCCTAGTTCTCTCTCTTCATCTTTCACCCTCTTCTTCTTTTTCCAGATAACTCAAACAAACAAACAAAATTCCAACTTGTAATTTCTTATTAAAAGCATTTTATGATTATTGAATTTAGCAGATATCAGTTTCTTCATCACATTAGGTTTAAAAAGTAAGAAATCTGTAACGTGGCCTTTGCTTATGTTTTTTTATATGAAATAGAGATGTTTAAGGCAGGGAGCACACCGAACCCAGATGAAATAGAGAGGAACAGAGAGGGGCGGAGAGATTTCAGTGGAGGAGGGAAAGGGGCTGGGGCTGGGGCTGGGCTGCGTGGAGAAGAGAGAGAAGCTGGGCTGAGAGATTTCACGGGCTAGAGGAGATAAGGGTTGGCTGTTGTGGCTATGTCCGATAGGAAGGGAGGGGGAGGATCCGATACTTTGATGTATATTATAATTTTCATCAAATTTCGTTTGAGGGCCCGTTTGATAGCTATTTCATTTTTCATTTTTAGTTTTAGAATATAGAGGAAAATTAGAATGAAAATAGGAGTGAAGATGAGATTGAGAAGATGATGAGAACGAGAAGTAAGAAAAGTGAAAACAAAAACTTGAAAGTGAAAATATTTTCAAATAGATTAAATTTTTAGTTTTTGTTTTCACTTTTGTTACTTTTCCCTCACATCCTCCCTTCTCATCTTTCCTTTCATTCTCCTTTTTTATTTCGGTATACACTCTGACACAAAAAGTGAAAACTAAAAACTAAAATTGAAATGATTATCAAATGGGCCCTTAGATAGTTACGTGTCTTCAGAAAATTAAAAGGCAACAAACACTCACACAGTGCCAATTTTTTTGCCAGAAAGATACAAATACAATCATGAAAAGAATAGATTAAGGGACACAGACACGTTTTGTAAAGGTTAAAAAGCAAGGATTTTGGGTCAAGTTTGTCCTGTTTGCCTTTGGCTTTATTGTGAAGGCACCTTCCATAGTGCACCAGGTGCACCCATGCACCATTTGTCCTTTATGATGCTCTCAGATTTTTTTAAAAATTGGTTACCAGTTATACAAATGATCAAGTTTCCTCTTTTTGAAAATGCAATTGCATAAGGGTCATGCAATTATGCCCTTCTTGTTTGGCAATTGGCATATGATTGGACATGTTATTTTTCAATTGAGTTTATTCTTCTTGACTCACGATGACATACTTATGAATTTTGCAATGGTATTTGTTTGCTTTTACAAATCTAAAGTTACCGTTTTAGACTCTTTTTTTAATGAAATGTTTGACGTTTTTTTCTTCTTCTTCTGATTTCGATATGTCACCTCATTGTAAATTAAAGTATCACAGTGTTGGACCTTAGGATAACCGTCCAATTGTGAGCGATCCGAACGTCCCTTTCGGATCACACCTGCGAGATGTAATTCCTAGACCCGTAATTGGACCTTAGGATATCTCGTTCTACGTATACGCACTGGGAACTTGGGGATTTAAGTATTTAATTTGTGATTTCCGTTTTGAAGTGATTCTATATTAATTAAGGGTTCGTATCTCGAAATAAGTGCTCTAATCGATAGTACACAGCAGGCAGGACCCTCTCAGGGTCAGGCAGCTTGGGACTATTTGTGAGTGGACTTTGTTTTCAACATATGCATGGTTTTATTGATGAAAGATTTATGCATAATGTTTTAAATGGTATAGTGCTTTGGCAATATATTGTGGGTTTGACATATTTGAGTATCGAGAGTATGTTTGTATGGATTTTGGGGAAATTCTATATATATTGTTTATATGTGGGGTACTTGGGTTGTTGAGGTGAGATTGTGGAAGGATTTGAGTATGAGGGATTGTTGAGAGAAGATATATGATTACACTATGTAAGTACCATCCCCAGTTACTAGGCTTCCCACACGTGGCGTTGGAATTTTCGACGTGTAAAACACTTCCCATACGTAGCGTTGGAATTTCCAGCATATGGGAAGATTATGTATATTGCTTGGGATCATCACATATGGCGTTGAAATTTCTGGTGTGTGATGATGTAGTCTGCGCACGTAGGACTTAGTATTGGAGCTACACATGGCGTTGGATGTTCCGGTGTGTGAGCTATGAAGTTTCGTCCCCCGGTTAGACCGCTCATCCCTAGACGTAGGATAGCACCTGGAAATCCTGCGGGCTAGCCAAACAATCCCCCGGTTGGATTGTTTCCCCAGTACCTAGGTAGTGTGAGAAGTATATGACATATTTATAATTATATATTTATATATATATATATATAGGTGTGAGTGTAAAGCAAGTAGAGTACATGTAGTGGGTTGGTAAGAACAGTATAATTTTGGGAATGAAGTTTGTGGTTCGAGTGATTTTTGGGTTCAATAGGTTTTCGAGAAAAATGTTTTTGAGCTTTTGATTATGAATTGTGAATCTGCATGCTTTGGGCATTATTTTTACACGGTGGGGTTATTATGTTGTTTTAAATCCAAACCTTGTTTTTGTCCACTAACATGTTTTCTGTTTTGCGCCCCCCATATAGTAGTTGCTCCAGGAAGGTGGCAAGCTGTGTTCGAGGCCAAACCGTTTACATCCGTAGATTAGGATTCGAGTAATTTCCTTTACTCAACTGGTTGTTGTCGTAATCCAAATCTATAGATGCTCTGTTATTGCCCATGTTAGATTTTTACTTGAGGCCGGAGGCCATTTACTGTGTACTGTTGAATGTTGAAAGCATGTTGCTGGTTGAGATTATATTATGTATATTATGCAAGTTGAATTTTGTTGGGTTTGTGCATTTTACAAGGGAGATTCTGCCAAAATTTTGGTAGAATGTCTCGGTTTTTAGTAAGTGGGCCCGACATCGGGATGATGTCAGTAACAAGATGGGATCTATCCCCGTTTCTGAGGAATTTCGGGGTGGGTCCTGTCAGAAATACTTTCTGCTATGATGTGAACCATCTAGATCGCACAATTAGAAAGAGAGGGAGAAAACTAGAGTTCTTACCTGCCATAGAGAGGTTGAGAGAAAGCCAGCCACAGAGATCCATATGAGAGTGAGAGAGAAATCATAACTGTGAAAACCTAAATATAAAAAAAAAAAACAAAGAACCCAGCGATGAAGCAGCAACAACAAGGAAGATACCCAGACCAAAAGCCCTAGAAAGGAGAACGAAATGAAGAAGGAGAAGAAGGAGCATGACCTACTTGAGAGGAGAGGAGATGTGGTCGCCGGCATCGTCTCGTCGTCACAAAAGGAGGAGAGGAGCTGTTGTGGAAGGAATCGAACTCGAAGAGAAAGAAATGAGAAATCTATATCTATACATATAACTGCCACTTGGAATATTGAGCCTTTCAAATTAGTTTTATCCCCATTATTGTTTGTATAAAAAAAAAAAAAAAAAAAAAAAATTAGTTCCATTCAGTATCAATATTATTGAAGAAAGTCTTGGGTTCAAATTTAATAAGGTCAAGAATGACAGGCTGGCACAGTAGTGGAACACCCACGAACCTCATATTACATATCTTATCATATAATTGACTTGGACTTTGCCTTGAAGACTTACTGCAATCATCCTGCAATCAGTTCTTGTTCATAAACACTGCTCTCAACCAATTTCCAAAGCTAAAAACAATGGCTGATGCTCTCATTTCCGTGCTGCTAGAACGGTTGGTCTCGATAACCTATGAATACGTGGAAGGAGAGTTGAAACATGTTTTGAACGTTAAGGAAGATGTTAAGAAATTCACTCGGACTCTCCGAGTAATTCGAGCTGTGCTTGAGGATGCAGAGCAACGCCAAGTGACGGATCGAGCTGTCAAAATCTGGTTGGATGAGCTCAAAGATATATCCTACCAGATGGTGGATGTGCTGGATGAGTGGAACACAGACATTCTCAAACAACAAGTTGAGAAGCAAGAAGGAGAAGGTGATCCAACTACTCTTGTTACAAAGATGAAGGTATGTTTCTCTAGTTTCTTCAGTTGCTTCAGTTGCTTTTGTTTTGGCAAAGTCAGTCGGGTGTTTCTTCGCCATGACATTGCTCTGAAAATAAAAGATCTGAATGACGAGTTAACTAAGATTAATAAGGAAAGAGAAGATTACCAGTTTCTAAGCAAAGAATTAGGCATTCAACAACCTCAACGACCTCAAACTGCATCTTTTGTCGATATATCTGAGATATTTGGTCGAGAAACTGAAAAAGAGGATTTGATAACAAACTTGTTGAGTGATAGTAGTGCGGAAGGGAAGGGGCTCCTTATCATCCCTATTGTAGGGATGGGAGGCATGGGAAAGACCACTTTGACCCAACTAGCCTATAATGATGACAATGTTAAAGCCCATTTTGAGATCAGAAAATGGGTTTGTGTGTCAGACCCTTTTGATGAGATTAAGATTGCCAAAGATATTAGTGGCGATTGCGCCACGAGTTCAAATCAGCTGGATTATGTCTTGCAACGTATGTCTGAATCCATCCAGGGCAAAAGGTTTCTTCTTGTCCTGGATGACGTGTGGACTGAAAACCGTCAAAAGTGGGAGCTTTTAAAGGTACCACTAATGCAAAACGGTGCTAAAGGCAGCATAATATTGGTCACCACAAGAAAAATAGAGGTTGCTAATATGATGAGAGCAATACCAAACATGATCAAGCTGAAAGGGTTGAGTGATGAATATTGTTTGGCAATCTTCAATCATATGGCCTTTCCTGATGGGGATGTAGATGAGTCTAAGGCATTTGAAGATATTAGTAAGAAAATTGTAAAGAAGTGTGAAGGTTTGCCTCTTGCTGCAAAGACTTTAGGTAGTCTCATGCGGAATAAGAGAACGAAAAGAGAATGGAAAGAAGTTTTGAATAGTAAGATATGGGATCTAGAGAAGGTCGAGCAAGAAGTTTTCCAACCCTTATTACTAAGTTATTATGATTTGTCCCCAACAATTAAATGTTGCCTTTTATATTGTGCTACTTTTCCTAAAGATTACACGTTTGAACGAGATCGTTTGATTGAACTTTGGATGGCACAAGACTATGTTATTTCGAAATGGAATAAACAAAAGGGAACAACGGGTGATGTAGTTTTTGACAACTTAGTGGCACGGTCATTTCTCCAAGATTTTCAAAAAGATCCAGACACTGGTACCATTACAGGTTGCAAAATGCATGATATTGTGCATGACTTTGTACAATTTCTCACCAAGAATGAGTGTTTGATTATGGATCACACAGAGTGTGCTACTAGCGAATCAAAGTTATTGGGTGATAAGGTTCGTCATTTGACCTTGAGATATTTTGTTGATGGTCCACTTGCTATCTCATCCAACAATTGCCAAAAGCTTCGCACGCTTGCAACTTTTGATTCAAGAATTACTACAATAGACTCAAATTTAATTTTACAATTGAAATGTCTTAGGACATTAAATTCGAGTCGTAATTCCATGAAAGAACTCCCAAAGGAGATTGGTGAATTGATACATTTGAGGCATATTGATTTGTCTTACAATAATTATTTGGAGAAATTACCAGACACTATTTGTGGTTTGTACAATTTGTCAACCTTGCGCCTTGTGCGGTGCTCTAAACTTAAAAAACTGCCTGAAAACATGGGAAACTTGATTAACTTAAAGCATCTTTATGTTGACTGGTGTGAAGATATGAAGTCGTTGCCGAAAGGAATAGGGAGATTAACAAGTTTGCAAACACTAGATGTGTGTCCGTGTGGTGGCGACAACGATGAAGCATTCCAAATTGGGGATATGAGAATGTTGAACCTCGAGGGAAGTCTCGTAATACAACTTGTGGGGGATGCGACAGATAAGAGCGAGGTTGAGAAAGCACAATTGTGGGACAAAAAGCTATTTCATCTCACCGTTCATTTTGAAAGGCAGACGAACAGTAGTAGTAGTAGTGTAGAAATACTGAATGCCTTGCGACCGCATCCAGATTTGGAATCTTTACAGATTCTGCATCATAATGGCACCACGTGGCCCAATTGGATTCAGTCTTTAAAAAATTTGAGATTCCTTACTCTTGTTGGGGGGACACAGTGTGAACTTTGGCCTCTTGGGAAATTGGAGTACCTTGAAAGACTGACGCTACTCGAGATGGTAGGAGTGAGAAAGGTCGGTGTTGAATTTTTGGGATTAGAAGATCAAACCTCATTCAGAATAAGATCGCCCCAGATATCATTCCCAAAATTGAAACAACTCAGCTTTGCCCTCATGTGGAATTGGGAAGAGTGGGAAGGCGTGGAAGAGTGGACGAAAGAGGATTCTGAAATTACAATCATGCCATGCCTTTCTAAGTTAGACATGGAGTGGTGCCCTTTACTACAAGCACTGCCAGACTTCCTCTTCAAAACACCACTGCAGACTCTTCGCATCCGTGGATCTGAGAGACTTTTAGAGCGTTACCAAGAAGGCAATGGAGAGTGGGCCAAGATTTCTGCTACGAACCCAAACATCCGCATTATCAGGTAATTGAGCTCTAGCAATCTCTTAATTATTTACATACTTATGTATGAATTCCAACTATCATCATAAATTTTGTGAACACCTTATTTTTAAGGTATATATAACTAATCTACTGTTGTATTGATGATTTGCAAAACTTTCTTTGTGTCATTAATTCGTAAAATATACTCTGAGGAACTACCTACTTTAGTAGGTCTAGATTGATTAATTTCTGTTGAATTCCTTTCGTTACTGGGCTTGGGCCCCCATTTATCCCCCAAAAAAAAGGTGCTTTGATGTTTGTTTTGTTAAATCTCTGGAGTTAATTTTCAATTAGCTAGTATTAATAAATTCATTTACTTATTATGCCACACGAGGTTTCTTGTTTTGTTTAATCTGCATGCTTTAGTTGTTCCTCAAAAAATTTAATTCCCGAATTGAAAAATGTCTAGGAGAAATTATTGCAAGAAGCAAATTAATTGATCAACTATGTATGTGTCATCATTTCAGGGACTCTACTGAAGCAAACAGAGTGCTGTAAACCATCAAAAGTCGGCCTACAGAAGTTCCAATAACTGAAATTTTGATTATTTTCACCACTCGCTAGGTATTTTTCTTCCTGCTAAATTGTTCGCATATATCATCATTTTTCTATAAAGAGGATTTTTCAAATGAGTATGAAAGGTACTTTCCTTTTTATGTTTTGTACAAAAAGTAAAACTTATTGTTCGCATTCCTCTTGGCCAGCTGCAGTGCTTTGACGTTTGTTTTGTTAAATCTCTGGATTTTAGAGCATCAAGGGAACTTGTCCTGCTTTGTTTGACTGATTTCGATGAAGCTTTTACCTAAAATGAGTAAGTTTTTTCATCAGTATGTGAAGTAATCCTATGTAATTTAAATAAATGCTTGTATTTGTGATTGCTAGTTGTCAATTTCTAATGTCATGCTAGGTCTCCTATCAAATTTTCATGGCACAGGATTTTCTTTTCGTAGTTACTGGAGCTCTTTTCGTGGCATGGGAGGGAGGGAAGAGTGAATATGACCCCAAGTTTCATTTTAATTCACCTTCAAGTGTCATCAAGTTGCTCAAAGGCTATATGAGGTTTGTTGTTTTGTTTAATCTGCATGCTTTAGTTGTTTCGAAAAAAATTAATTCCTGAAAAATGTCTAAGAGAAATGATTGCAATAAGCAAATTGATCAACTATGTATGTGTAAGGAATTATTATAAGAATACACAAGTAACAGTCGTCGTTTTAGATACTTGAAAGAATACCAAGTACATTTTTGGGAGCCTAAAAGTGTGAGGCTCTCTCTGTAACTGGACAAGCAGTTTCTACTCTTTCCTTCATTATAATACCGTTCATCATTTCAGGGACTCTATGGAAGCGAACGGAGTGGTGTAAAGCATCAAAGTCAGTCTACGGAAGTTCCAATAACTGAAATTTTGATAATTTTCATCAAAAGTCAGCCTTGAGAACTTGACAGAGACATGATGAATTTCGAAGGTCTACTGAGCTTTTGATTTACAAACATTGATGAGTGGTTTGTAAGCAGAAACTTCGTGAACACCTTATTTTTAAGGGACAGGCAACATCGACTGTATATATAACTAATCTACTGGTGTATTGGTCATTTGCAAAACTTCCTTTGTGTCATTAATTCGTAAAATGCACTCTGAGGCCAGCTGCAGTGCTTTGATGTTTGTTTTGTTAAATCTCTGGATTTTAGAGCATAAGCAACTTAAATAAAGATAATTTCTGGTCATCCAAACTGCAGAAAATAAATTCAGACCTCACATTCTATGCCGGATGAATGGAAAGCAGGGATACACCATCAAGGGAACTTGTCCTGCTTTGTTTGACTGATTTCGATGAAGCTTTTACCTAAAATGAGTAAGTACGTAGCCCCACAATGAGCTGTTTGATGACGTTCGTATGTACATGGGTGCTGATTTATTTGTACTTCTAACAACTATTAGTAATGTAATTTCAATAACAACCCGGACCTAAAGAGCTTGAAAAGTGTGATTCAGATGTAAGTTCAATAACAATAAGCACGTAATTGCAAACATCATCAAACGTCTCAATGTCTTGTCTTTGGGTTCCTACTAAATGTATAAAACCCCAATTGGGGTCTTCCATTCATTTCCAGAGCAAAAAAGTAAAAAACCAAAACCCTTAGCACTCTCCCTAAAAGTGCAAGATAACATGCCTGCTCAACCTCCCACAATTCCTCTCCATACTCCTTACAAAATGGGAAAGTTCAACCTTTCTCATAGGTACTTAAATCTCTTGTACATTGCATTATTGATTAGATATTGCTGCAAGCTGGCGATCTGTTTTTCTAAATCTGTATCTTGGGTCATTTTGTTGTCGCACAAATCAGCCATGGCATGACCTTGTTCTGCTTAAAATGGGGTTGTCGGTACCACCATGCCCATTAGGAGTCCACTACTTGTCCAAACCATGTATTGTCCCGACCTTAACCACCTAGGTACAATTAGGAGAGTATTCTCCAATGTGGGACATACACATCATGACTTGTATTTAGCCACCTACACCAACGATCTTCATCTTAGCGAGATCTAAGTCAAGGTAACCCACCCATTACAACACTCTCACTTTTCAAAGATGGCATGATCCCGCAACTCCACCTCTTCCGACAAGGATTTCTTGAGCCTCACTAGGAGCTTTTGCCCCACATGCACAAACAGTTTAGTCCACTTAAAAGTTAGAGGCAGGCGTTTGTGGAAAATCCGAGTTGGCTAACAAGAAAAAGAATTTTACTTCTTATGTCTTGCCAAATGAAGTTGTTTACCTATATCAGCAGTTTCTTTCACCATGCATTTTATTGTCCTTTCTACCTTGATCATTTCATAATGGTTTATCTCGTGCTTATTTTTCTTAAATATTTAGGATAATTATTTGCCGGGGCTAGTTATGTTGTTCTCTTTTAAAGCTATCACAGGTGATGTAGTTATATAGTTGTGATAGTTTCCTACCAGGAAAGATCGATGCTTATATTTGTAATTTGTTTCTCATCCACATGTCATCTTCTTTTACTCTATTGTATCTCTAATTTATTTTCTCTGCCTTTTCCAGAATTGTTTTACCACCACTGGCTAGAATGAGATCATACAATAATATTCCACAGCCACATGCCATCTTATACTACTCTCAGAGAACATCTCAAGGGGGTCTTCTCATAGCTGAAGCCACTTTTGTTTCTGAAACAGATCAAGGGTAATTTTAAGAAGAGTAGCTTTCCATTTATTTTACGTTTGGTTTTTTCAATGAAATTAATTACATAAATTTAATATCTCAAGGTGGGTGAATAATCCTGGTTTATGGACAACGGAGCAAGTTGAAGCTTGGAAACCGATTGTTGCTGCTGTTCATGCTAAAGGCGGTGTCTTCTTCTGTCAGATTATGCATCCAGGGAGGGTTTCAAATAGCGGTGCGTTTCGTCTTTCACCTTTATGACTTCACTTCTATAATAGAAAGAATTATGAGCAATTAGACCATTAAAGCATCAGGAAGCTCATTTTTCATGACCATAATGTATTGAGCTCAGATTGTGATTCTGTTTCTGTCTCTGTCTCTCTCTCTTTGCTTGCAGGTTTCCAGCCAAGGGGACAAACTCCAATCTCTTCTACTGACAAGCCACTAACCTCACAAATACTAACTAATGGCTTTGCTGTTGCTGTTGCTGTTGCTGAATACACACCTCCAAGACGATTAAGGACAGATGAGATTACACAAATTGTCAATGATTTTAGACTTGCTGCAAGGAATGCTATCGAAGCTGGTAAATATAAATGGAACATAATTCATAAGCCAAATGTAGCTATTAACGAAAAACACGCCAGATTGATTCTTGAATTGAATTGTGTTGGTTTAGAGTCTCATATTGTTTAATGTTTTAACTTTGTAATCATATGATTCAGTTTTGTCTAATTTTAACTTTGTAACATCTTCGCTGAATGGAAAATGCTTGGCTGATATATAGGCTTTGATGGGGTTGAAATTCATGGGGCATATGGCTACCTGATTGATCAGTTTATGAAAGACCAAGTGAACGATCGAACAGATGAATATGGTGGATCGCTGGAGAATCGTTGCCGGTTCCCCCTGGAAATCGTTGAAGCTGTTGCTAATGAGATAGGAGCAGATAAAGTTGGAATTAGATTATCTCCATTTGCCGACTATATGGAATCAGGGGATTCGAATCCGAAAGCATTAGGCCTTTATATGGCCAAATCCTTGAACAAATACGGGATCCTGTACTGCCATGTGGTTGAGCCAAGAATGAAGACAGTTGGAGACAAAAGTGAAACCCCTTACAGTCTTCTGCCCATGAGAGAAGCTTTCAAAGGCACCTTCATTGCTGCTGGTGGTTTTGACAGGGAAGATGGGAACAATGCTGTGGCAAAGGGCCATGCAGATCTTATTGCTTATGGACGTTGGTTCTTGGCTAATCCAGATTTGCCCAGGAGATTTGAGCTTAATGCTCCTCTAAATAAGTACAACCGAGAGACATTCTATACATCTGATCCGGTTATTGGTTACACTGATTATCCATTTCTTAAAACTACTGCTTAAGTTTCCTGCAGCCCAAGGAAGCTTGAACATACTTGGATCTTAATCTGCTTATTCGTATTGTTACCATTCTTCCACTATATATATAAGTAGATAGAAAATAAAAGGTGAAAAAAAGTTGTCATTTTTTTTTTGGTGGAATGAAACTTGTCATTGGGTTTGGTATATTATGTTTCTGTGTTGGCTAATATTTGTATCGAGTGTTTCTGTGCGCGGCAGCCTCACCCAAAATTGTTCTCCTGTCAGTAAATGCCACTAGACCAGCTGATGAGAATAAAAGTAGATGAGGTCTAACATGTATTGTATTTAATTGCATCAAAGCTTTCTATAAATGTAGCTATTTGAACCCTACGATATAAAATGACATTTTAATTTCATGGTCTCATCCAATCCAATGTACCTAAAAAAACCACATACTCGGATGCCAAAGAATGAACATATGATACATGTTGAAGGTTATGAATACAAATTGCATATTGACAATTCCCACAAGTCGTTTTGATCTCAGCAATCCCTGAGGTCATGTTTCTGTGAGAGTATCAAATCCTAGAGTATCTACCGCGTTTTCTTTTCCGGCAGCACACTGACCTAGTTAACTCAAGACACAGAAACAGTTGGCAAAAGTTTGTGCATCCATCAGTCCTCTGCATTTCTCCTGATTTTTTTCTTCAGTTTGTCTTGCTCCCGATATCTCTCTCGTCGTTCTTCTCTCTGGCGGTTTTTCGACAATTGCTCTTCTTTGGCTTTCTGCACTTCAATTTCTTTCCTTTTTTTATCATCCTTTAGCTTGCGCTTCTTTATCTGCAAGAGCCAAAGTGAAGTTAAAATACTTTAAAAAATAATAGGTTGATGATAAGGGACACTCTCTGGCATAATATTGTCACACCATAACAAAAAAGACAAATAAGGTTCTCATAGCATGAATGCACTCTAGATTAGCCCTACAAGTTTCCCCCAGAAAAAGTCTAAATATAAATTAAAATTGGTGTCACACTCCAAAAGAGTCTGAGGTTTGCCACAAAGGTGTTTATGCAAGTTCCATGTGTCAAAACTCAAAAGCAATCCTCCCCCAATGTAAATTTACCGCGGCTATTCAAACAAACATTTCCAACCAGCGACCGATTGCCAAACAAAGTTAATTTGTAACCATAGAAAAAGTCCTCCATCAAGATCTTGGAAGGTAAATTAATCTTTTTGGAGTGCCTCTGCCAGTGTGTGGTCTCTCTAAGTGTGGCTGTGCATTAGTTACTTAACCAATTTGGCTCTCCAACAAATTTAACGATCAATTATGCACTTGGCACGACGGTTCAAACACAATAATTGTCTTAAGGTGCATACCTTCTCATTTCTAATTAATCGAAGATGTTGAACAAGAGCATGAACTTTCCGTTCATGAGGTTCCATGACAACAGCTCTTCTATTTTCAGGAAGTGGCCTTCCTCTACCGGGTATATCCTTAGGCTTTGATGCCAATGGCAAAGCAGCCTGCAATGACTTAGGAATCACCAATGGGTTGAACTTCTTCAGCTTCCTTTCAAGTGGCTGTTGACACAAGAACATGAAACTAAGTACCATTGGATAACACAAAAAAACTGAAGAAAGAAAACAAGCAGTACGGCCGGGGCAGAATTGAGAGAAACCATGTACCACTGCAATAAGCAGCCTCATTGTGAGGCCCTCATATCATAGATTACCTTGTAAAGTGAATCTTCAAAAAAGTATCTTTAAAGAAAAAAAAACATAAACACGCTCATTAAAATCGCGTCGTTTTCTTTTACAGAAGTTTCTGGTGTCTTGCTCTCTCTCTCTCTCTCTCTCTCCCCCTCATCAAACGAATTTGATAGCCTATTGCCAAGCCCCTCTGAAATTTCCAACGGGTTGTTGAATAGAAAACTGCTATTGAGTTTGATGTTTGTCAATTTGGTCACTTTTTTTTTTGCCTAGTTCTCTCTCTTCATCTTTCACCCTCTTCTTCTTTTTCCAGATAACTCAAACTCAAACAAACAAAAAAAATTCCAACTTGTAATTTCTTATTAAAAGAGATTTCAGTGGAGGAGGGAAAGGGGCTGGGGCTGGGGCTGGGCTGCGTGGAGAAGAGAGAGAAGCTGGGCTGAGAGATTTCACGGACTAGAGGAGATAAGGGTTGGCTGTTGTGGCTATGTCCGATAGGAAGGGAGGGGGAGGATCGCGTTCGCCGGACATGGGTGATTGGGAGGGGCGTTGGGCGATGGGAAGGGAGATGGAGGATCGAGATGGAGTAATTAGAAAATCACTGATGTAGTCACGTGTGAAAAGCAACCCACAACTACCGGTTTCCCAGTTTTTTAGGTGCTTTTATTGGTTTTTTTTCAATTTATTCTGGACCATCGGATCAAATAATTCAAATCTAACCGTCCAACAAGTTGATGTACCGATACTTTGATGTATATTATAATTTTCATCAAATTTCGTTTGAGGTCCCGTTTGATAGCTATTTCATTTTTCATTTTTAGTTTTAGAATATAGAGGAAAATTAGAATGAAAATAGGAGTGAAGATGAGATTGAGAAGATGATGAGAACGAGAAGTAAGAAAAGCGAAAACAAAAACTTGAAAGTGAAAATATTTTCAAATAGATTAAATTTTTAGTTTTTGCTTTCACTTTTGTTACTTTTCCCTCACATCCTCCCCTCTCATCTTTCCTCTCATTCTCACTTTCATTCTCCTTTTTTTTTTCGGTATACACTCTGACACAAAAAGTGAAAACTAAAAACTAAAATTGAAATGATTATCAAACGGGCCCTTAGATAGTTACGTGTCTTCAGAAAATTAAAAGGCAACAAACACTCACACAGTGCCAATTTTTTTGCCAGAAAGATACAAATACAGTCATGAAAAGAATAGATTAAGGGACACAGACACGTTTTGTAAAGGTTAAAAAGCAAGGATTTTGGGTCAAGTTTGTCCTGTTTGCCTTTGGCTTTATTGTGAAGGCACCTTCCATAGTGCACCAGGTGCACCCATGCACCATTTGTCCTTTATGATGCTCTTAGATTTTTTTAAAAATTGGTTACCAGTTATACAAATGATCAAGTTTCCTCTTTTTGAAAATGCAATTGTATAAGGGTCATGCAATTATGCCCTTCATGTTTGGCAATTGGCATATGATTGGACATGTTATTTTTCAATTGAGTTTATTCTTTTTGACTCACGATGACATACTTATGAATTTTGCAATGGTATTTGTTTGCTTTTACAAATCTAAAGTTACCGTTTTAGACTCTTTTTTTAATGAAATGTTTGACTTTTTTTCTTCTTCTTCTGATTTCGATATGTCACCTCATTGTAAATTAAAGTATCACAGTGTTGGACCTTAGGATAACCGTCCAATTGTGAGCGATCCGAACGTCCTTTTCAGATCACACCTGCAAGATGTAATTCCTAGACCCGTAATTGGACCTTAGGATATCTCGTTCTACGTATACGCACTGGGAACTTGGGGATTTAAGTATTTAATTTGTGATTTCCGTTTTGAAGTGATTCTATATTAATTAAGGGTTCGTATCTCGAAATAAGTGCTCTGATCGATAGTACACAGCAGGCAGGACCCTTTCAAGGTCAGGCAGCTTGGGACTATTTGTGAGTGGACTTTGTTTTCAACATATGCATGGTTTTATTGATGAAAGATTTATGCATAATGTTTTAAATGGTATATTGGATATATTAATATTAAAATGTTGAATTTGATGTTCGTATAGTGCTTTGGCAATATATTGTGGGTTTGACATATTTGAGTATCGAGAGTATGTTTGTATGGATTTTGGGGAAATTCTATATATATTGTTTATATGTGGGGTACTTGGGTTGTTGAGGTGAGATTGTGGAAGGATTTGAGTATGAGGGATTGTTGAGAGAAGATATATGATTACACTATGTAAGTACCATCCCCAGTTACTAGGCTTCCCACACGTGGCGTTGGAAATTTCGGCGTGTAAAACACTTCCCATACGTAGCGTTGGAATTTCCAGCATATGGGAAGATTATGTATATTGCTTGGGATCATCACACATGGCGTTGAAATTTCTGGTGTGTGATGATGTAGTCTGCGCACGTAGGACTTAGTATTGGAGCTACACATGGCGTTGGATGTTCCGGTGTGTGAGCTATGGAGTTTCGTCCCCTGGTTGGACCGCTCATCCCTAGACGTAGGATAGCACCTGGAAATCCTGCGGGCTAGCCAAACAATCCCCCGGTTGGATTGTTTCCCTAGTACCTAGGTAGTGTGAGAAGTATATGACATATCTATAATTATATATTTATATATATATAGGTGTGAGTGTAAAGCAAGTAGAGTACATGTAGTGGGTTGGTAAGAACAGTATAATTTTGGGAATGAAGTTTGTGGTTCGAGTGATTTTTGGGTTCAATGGGTTTTCAAGAAAAATGTTTTTGAGCTTTTGATTATGAATTGTGAATCTGCATGCTTTGGGCATTATTTTTACACGGTGGGGTTATTATGTTGTTTTAAATGCAAACCTTGTTTTTGTCCACTAATATGTTTTCTGTTTTGCGCCCCCCCATATAGTAGTTGCTCCAGGAAGGTGGCAAGCTGTGTTCGAGGCCAAACCGTTTACATCCGTAGATTAGGATTCGAGTAATTTCTTTTACTCAACTGGTTGTTGTCGTAATCCAAATCTATAGATGCTCTGTTATTGCCCATGTTAGATTTTTACTTGAGGCCGGAGGCCATTTACTGTGTACTGTTGAATGTTGAAAGCATGCTGCTGGTTGGGATTATATTATGTATATTATGCAAGTTGAATTTTGTTGGGTTTGTGCATTTTACAAGGGAGATTCTGCCAAAATTTTGGTAGAATGTCTCGGTTTTTAGTAAGTGGGCCCGGCATCGGGATGATGTCAATAACAAGATGGGATCTGTCCCCGTTTCTGAGGAATTTCGGGGTGGGTCCTGTCAGAAATACTTTCTGCTATGATGTGAACCATCTAAATCGCACAATTAGAAAGAGAGGGAGAAAACTAGAGTTCTTACCTGCCATAGAGAGGTTGAGAGAAAGCCAGCCACAGAGATCCAGATGAGAGTGAGAGAGAAATCATAACTGTGAAAACCTAAATATAAAAAAAAAAACAAAGAACCCAGCGATGAAGCAGCAGCAACAAGGAAGATACCCAGACCAAAAGCCCTAGAAAGGAGAACGAAATGAAGAAGGAGCATGACCTACTTGAGAGGAGAGGAGATGTGGTCGCCGACATCGTCTCGTCGTCACAAAAGGAGGAGAGGAGCTGTTGTGGAAGGAATCGAACTCGAAGAGAAAGAAATGAGAAACCCAACCCTAAAAGTCGACTTGAAATGTCTCTAACTGAGAGAGCAAGTATTTTTGTCTTTTTTTATAATTATTTTACCTAGAGCAACCAATTTAACCAATAACTAACAATCAACGCTTTGGATTACCCACATACCCCAACTACACATCCAATGGTCTATAATAAGTGGCGCATCAGTGCGCCTTGTGCTCTGTAGGAATCCATCCTAAGATTAAGTTGGGTTGTATAATCTCAATTATTGGTTCGACCAAAAAAAAAAAAAATCTAAATTATTGATGTAAGAAATTTGATGAATTATTACTTTTTGGACAGTTAGATACATCAACTTGTTGGACCATTGGAAAAGTGCAAGTGTCATTGATGCCCATCTTTCGGTCTGTGTGGTGTATTTTGCTTACAAAAGTGGAAAATTAGTCAAAAGATAATGGCTCTTAAAATCATGAAAGGCAGAACCTGCCCCTCCACTACAAATAAGCCTCCTTTAACTTTTGGGATAAAGATTCGTGTAACAGTTCCTTTAAGCAGTCTCTGTGGTTCTAGCTTCTTCAAAGTTGTTCAACTCCAATTACTTTCCTCAAAGTTGTCTGCGCTTTCCAGCGCACCAGCACTACTTCATTGTCTTTTTCAGATTCTGCCATTACGATTATCTCTCATTGTGATTCTGACTTCCATTATCTCATTCTATTTTTAAGTTGTTTTCACAAAATCTAGTTACCGAAAACAAAATTTAGACATCAACCCCAACAATCCTCCTCCATCCCCCACCAGAGCCCCCACACCATTGGAATTAAGCCTTTAAGATAAATGCCACTTGAAATTTGTTATTCATTATCTATATCTATACATATAACTGCCACTTGGAATATTGAGCCTTTCAAATTAGTTTTATCCCCCATTATTGTTTGTATAAAAAATAAAAAATAAAAAAAAATTAGTTCCATTCAGTTTCAATATTATTGAAGAAAGTCTTGGGTTCAAATTTAATAAATGACAATTTTGAGACAAAGAGATATTATATTTTTTATGAAAAAGTGCAAATTCACGTAACTTAGATACTGAATATGTAAATGTTTTCTAATGACCAAACGCAATATCACAGTGAATTAATCTGGAGATAATTATTTATCCTTTTTGTTACATTGAAAGGGAGCCTTAACCTAACTCAAGATTCCCCACTCTAGAAAACAATAAACATAATCCAAATAAGAAAAGTATGCAGAGCCACTGTTTGGGCTTGGTTGCCTTGTCGGAGATTTATGCACTACATCTTGACAAGTCGTTGTCGTTAATCTTGTCTTGTATGATAAGGTCAAGAATGACAGGCTGGCACAGTAGTGGAACACCCACGAGCCTCATATTACGTATCTTATCATATAATTGACTTGGAGTTTGCCTTGAAGACTTACTGCAATCATCCTGCAATCAGTTCTTGTTCCTAAACACTGCTCTCAACCAATTTCTAAAGCTAAAAACAATGGCTGATGCTCTCATTTCCGTGCTGCTAGAACGGTTGGTCTCGATAACCTATGAATACGTGGAAGGAGAGTTGAAACATGTTTTGAACGTTAAGGAAGATGTTAAGAAATTCACTCGGACTCTCCGAGTAATTCGAGCTGTGCTTGAGGATGCAGAGCAACGCCAAGTGACGGATCGAGCTGTCAAAATCTGGTTGGATGAGCTCAAAGATATATCCTACCAGATGGTGGATGTGCTGGATGAGTGGAACACAGACATTCTCAAACAACAAGTTGAGAAGCAAGAAAGCGAAGGTGATCCAAATGCTTTTGTTACAAAGAAGGAGGTACGTTTCTCTAGTTTCTCCCGTTGCTTTTGTTTTGGCAACGTCAGTCGGGTGATTTTTCACCGTGACATTGCTCTGAAAATAAAAGATCTGAATGATAAGTTAACTAAGATTAATAAGGAAAGAGAAGATTACCAGTTTCTAAGCAAAGAATTAGGCATTCAACAACCTCAACAACCACAACGACCTCAAACTGCATCTTTTGTCGATATATCTGAGATATTTGGTCGTGAAAAGGAACAGAATAT